CCGCCCCCGGTCCTGCCGGCCCGCTGCCCGCACCTCCCCGCGGCCTTTGTCTCCGCGGAGCCACCGCGCCTCTCCCTCCGCCTGCCGGAGCAGCCGGAGACCCGCCGGGTGGCCCTGGGGGAGCGAAGGGGGCGGCCGGCGGCGGCCGGGCGGGGAGGACGAGTTACCTGGCAAGGGGTGGTGGGAGGGCAGGCGGGGAGGGGGGCCGAGGCCGGTGCCTGGCGCTCATCCTGTCGCGTCTGTCGCGGTAGTTCCGACCACACGGCTGCTGGGTCGCGTTAGCACGGCGTGGTGGCACGAACAGCCCCCGGCCACTAACGACGCCGGGTGACCTGCCGCATCCCAGCTAGAGGCAGGCGCTGTAGCGCGGTTGTAGTCCGGTGAATGAACCTCGCCTCCCACGCAAGTCGGCATTCCCTCCGTGGCAAGCATCGCAGTGAGGAACGGGAGAGGCCAAGGCAGACCCACGCTCAAATGCTTGGATTTTTAGCATGAATGATATTAACCTGGAACGAAACAAACCTCTGACAGAACTGGCTGTCAGGTAACCGGCTGTGTTGGCCTGAGATACTTGGGTCGCTGTCCTGACCCTGCTGCTTTAATCCTTACATAACCTGCCGCTTACACTTAGCTACATTATGTAAACTTTTGCCACCTCAAACCTTTCTTCGGCTAACAGGGAGATAGACCAGACGAGGGTAAAGAGGTCACGGCAAGTCAAAATATTTTCCCCCTTTTAGCAGCTAACAGGAATTAAAAAACAAAATGTACGAGGAAAAGTTTCTCCCTGCTTGAGCTGTGAAGTATTGTACTTTTTCTGACTCATGGTTACGGTGTAGGTGGAGTCCGCGCTACTGAACGTGCAGAAATGGAGAACTCGAAGCACTGCTGAGATATTTAAGGATTAGAAGCATTATTGGCACCTGCTCTCACGTTATATCCAGACAACAGAAGTGATTTTTGCAGTTTCCCTGTACATAAAATTAATCTTTGTTGAGTAGTTGTTTTGAAATAACTTGGTTTA